GCAGCCAAGGGCCTCCAAACCTGGTTCTGGATGATCTGGAGGGCTGGGAGTCTTGTTTTTAAGCTGGGGTTATCAAAAGAAGAGGGCAAGGGGGACAAAGTTACATCGAGGACAGGAGGCGGTCCTCCAAAAAGGATTTCATAGGGGGTTAAGCCATGTATAGCAGGAGTATTTCTAGCCTGAAATAAGGCTAGAGGTAGGAGCTGTACCCAGTCTTTAGTGCCAGTCTCTAGAGCTACTTTAGTTAAGGTCTCTTAATAGTTCTCTTTAATAGTTTTATTTATTTTTTCTACCTGTCCTGAACTCTGGGGTCTGTAAGCACAATGTAATTTTCAATTAATCCCCAGTGCTTTGGCCATTCCCTGACTTACCTGGGAGACGAAGGCTGGGCCATTATCAGACCCAATTACCTTAGGCAGTCCAAATTGAGGGAAAATGTCTTCGATCAGTTTCTTCACCACCATCTAGGCTGTTTCTTTCCAGGTGGGGAAAACTTCAACCCACCCTGAGAAAGTGTCTATGAACACTAAAAGATATTTATAACCATTGGGAGGACCTCAGTAAAATCTACTTCCCAGTTAGTCCCTGGTCGTGTCCCTCTTTCTCTCTTGCCAGACGGGACCTTTGACCTGGTTGCATTTACCAGGGAACATGAGACACAATCTCCTACTACCTTCTGAACTAGCTGGTTAAGGTCTGGGAAGTAATAGAATTGTTCTTCTCTTTCTAGTAGTGTTTTTAGTTTCTTGTGTCCCAAATGTGTCCACTGGTGGAGTTGGGAGATTAGCTCAAGTGCTGCTTCCCGGGGCAGTATGGTACGATTTCGATATCTCCACATCTTGGTTTCAGGATCCAAGGTAGCATTAAAAAGAGCTTCTGCCTCCTTTTCCTGTGTCTCCATTTCAGCCTTAAGGTCTGCATGTGTGTAGAGAATGTAGGTATCTTCTGCTGCCTGACGGGCAGTTTCATCTGCCATCCGATTGCCTCGAGCAATCGGCCCCTGGTCTCGTTGATGCCCAGGGCAATGAATTATGCTGACCTGTTTTGGCAAGTACAAGGCTTGTAGAAGGGCCACTATTGCTTCTTTGTTTTTGATGTCCTTACCAGCTGAGGTGAGGAGTCCCCGCCTCCGATATATTTCCCCATGTATATGGGCAGTGGCAAATGCATAGCGGCTGTCAGTATAAATATTGACCTTTTTGCCCTTTGCTAATTTTAGGGCCTGAGTTAGAGCTTCTAATTCAGCTCGCTGGGCTGATGTTCCAGCCGGCAAGGCTTGGGCCCAAATTATCTTTTCTCCATCAACCACCACTGCCCCCGCCTTTCGCTCACCATTTTGTAGAAAGCTGCTCCCGTCCGTATACCAAGTGGCATCTGCATCCATGGTCAGTATACCAAGTGGCATCTGCATCTGTTAGGGGCTGGTCAGTGAGGTCTTCCCTGGTCCCATGTGTCTCTGCAAGTATTTGCTGGCAGTCATGGGGAATCTCAGTGCCTTTCTCGGTGGCTGGTAGCAGCGTGGCGGGGTTTAGGGTGGCAGGGCTACCAAACTTGATCTTTTCTGGATTTAATAGTAGTGCCTGATAATGGGTCACCCTGGCATTTGACAACCATCTGTCAGGAGGCTGTCTGATGATGGACTCCACTGCATGAGGTGTGATAACAGTTAAGGGCTGGCCCATAGTGAGTTTGTCTGAGTCTTTAACCAGGGATGCTATTGCCGCCATGATTCTCAAGCATGGGGGCCAGCCAGTGGCCACATTGTCCAGTTTCTTTGAGAGATAAGCTACTGGCCTTTTCTAGGGTCCCAAAGTCTGAGTAAGGACTCCTTTTGTTATTTTTTATTTTTATCTATATATAAGATGAAAGGTTTTGTCAAGTCTGGCAATCCCAGAGCTGGAGCCGTCAGCAGTGTTTTTTTTTATTTTGTCAAAGGCTCTCTGGTGTTTTTTAGTCTTTGACCTTTTTGCCCTTTGCTAATTTTAGGGCCTGAGTTAGGGCTTCTAATTCAGCTCGCTGGGCTGATATTCCAGCCGGCAGGCTTGGGCCCAGATTATCCTGTCCCCATCGACCACCGCCGCCCCCGCCTTACGCTCACCGTCTCGTAAAAAGATGCT